ACTCCTAAACTGCTAGAACTCACACAGGAATTCAGTAAAGTGTCAGGATATAAAATCAATGCACAGACATCAGTTGCATTTCTATACACCAACAAGACAGAAGAAAGAAATTACAGAGTTGACCCCAATTTCAACTGCATCCAAAAGCATAAGAATAATATACCTAGGAATAAACCTAAGCAAAGAGGCAAAGAATCTGTACTCAAAAAACTATAAAGAACTCATGAAAGAAACTGAGGAAGACACAAAGAAATGTAAAAACGTTCCATTCTTATGAAGAACAAATATCGTCAAAATGTCTATGCTACCTAACACAGTCTACACATTTAATGCAATCCCTACCAAAAGACCATCACTTTTTTTCAAAGAAATCAATAAATAATCCTAAAATTTATATGGAAACAGAAAAAAACCCGAATAGCCAGAGGAATGTTGAAAAAGAAAACAAAAGTAGGTATCAGAATTCCAGACTTCAAGCTCTACTACAAAGCTGCCATCATCAAGACAGCATGGTACTGGCACAAAAACAGACGCATAGATCAATGGAACAGAGCAGAGAGCCCAGAAATAGTCCCTCAACTCTATGGTCAACTAATCTTTGACAAAGCAGGAAAGAATGTCCAATGGAAAAAAGTCTCTTCAAATGTTGTTGGGGAAATTGGACAGCCACACGCAGAAGAATGAAACAACCATTTCCTTACTCCGCACACAAAAGTAAGACTCAAAATGGATGAAAGACCTCAAAGTGAGACAGGAATCCATCAACATCCTTGAGGAGAACACAGGCAGCACCTCTTTAATCTCAGCCACAGCAACTTCTTCCTAGAAACATCGTCAAAGGCAAGGGAAGCAAGGGCAAAAATGAACTATTGGGATTTCATCAAGATCAAAAGCTTTTGCACAGCAAAGGAAACAGCAAAACCAAAAGACAAGTGACAGAATGGGAAAATATATTTGCAAATGACTTACCAGATATGGCCTGGTATCCAAAATCTATAAAGAACTTAGCAAACTCAACACCCAAAGAATAATCCAGTTAAGAAATAGGCAGAAGACATGAACAGACATTTCACCAAAAAAGACATCCAAACGGCCAACAGACACATGAAAAAGGGCTCAAAATCACTCAGCATCAGGGAAATACAAATCAAGACCTCAGTGAGATACCACCTCACACCAATCAGAATGGCTAAAATTAACAAGTCAGGAAATGACCGATGCTGGCGAGGATGCAGAGAAAGGGGAACCCTCCTACACTGTTGGTGGGAATGCAAGCTGGAGCAGTCACTCTGGAAAACAGTATGGAGGTTCCTCAAAAAGTTGAAAATAGAGCTACCCTATGACCCAGCAATTGCAGTACTGGGTATTTACCCTAAAGATAATAAATGTAGGGATCCGAAGGGGCACGTGCACCCGAATGTTTATAGCAGCAATGTCTACAATAGCCAAACTATGGAAAGAACCTAGATGTTCATCCACAGATGAATGGATAAAGAGGCTATATATATATGTGTGTGTGTGTGTGTGTATATACATATGTATGTATATATATATATGTATGTATATACACACACACACACACACACACACACATATATATATATAATGGAATACTATGCAGCCATCAAAAACCCTGAAATCTTGCCATTTGCAACAATATGGATGGAACTAGAGGGTATTATGCTAAGCGAAATCAATCAGAGAAAGACAATTTTCATACGATCTCTCTGATATGAGGAATTTGAAAGGCAGGGCGGGGGGTCGTGGGGGGTAGGGAGGGAAAAAATGAAACAAGATGGGACCAGGGAGGGAGACCAACCATAAGAGACTCTTCATCTCAGGAAACAAACCGAGGGCTGCTAGGGGTTGTAGGGGGAGGGATAGGGTGGCTGGGTGATGGACACTGGGGAGGTTATGTGTTATGGTGTTCTGAATTGTGTAAGACTGATGATTTACAGACCTCTACCCCTGAAGCAAATAATACATCATATGTTAATTTTTTTTTAAATGTGGTTATATTTTAACCCACTCCTAGTTGTCATCTGTCGAGCTGAATCACCTGTAAGATGAAGTGAATGACGTCTGCTTTTACTGTTGCCTTTTCTTCTCCAGAAACGAGGGCTTTGAGTTGTAGGACATACACCTGTAGTTAGGCCTGAGTCATAGGTTCACAGAAACATCCAGGGCCAGGTCACGAAAATGCATGAGTTATTCAGACAGAACAAGATTGACAGCTAAACGGCTAGAACCAAATGCCCAGGCCCTGAATCCCCTTCGGAGCTATCCTGTTAGCTTGAATGGATCATCTCCCCTTTTCATACCTGCCACACCTGGCCTTCAGTGACTATTCTGTTTGTAAACCAGGGGCCTTGGGATCATGACCTACACTGAAGGCAGACACTTAATGACTGAGCCACACAGGCACCCCGAGAGTGTTTTTTGTTTTTAAATTAAAATATGTTGATGGCGCATCTTTTATGATCAAGAACTTCCTGGGATGAAAAGAATCCAGCTGTGCTTTGGAAAGAAGACTGCCAGACTGGAGGAAGGGCAGAGCTGGGCGGCCGGGGACACCTTCTCTTGGCCCCTGCTTCGCTCCCCTGGCACGTGCTCATCTCGCGCCCAGCTGTCTTGCATGTGGTCCAGTAAGTGTCCTCATCCACCCACCCAGGTCAGCCACAGCACCCACACCTTGTTGCCAGCTTTCCTTCCTGCCTCTTGAGTCAGATTCTTGATGGAATTGGGTCAAACTCTTATTTTCAAGCCAGCCGTACGGGTCATGTGGCCTGTAGATAACTCAGCGGACCTTGACTAGGTCTGAGGCTTACTCATTTTGACTAACAGATGAACTCAACCTCAGGTGTTAAAAAGCCCAGTGAGTAGGAGACAGAAACAAGTAGTAACCCAAAAAGGACCATCTGTTGTCTTGGAATCAAGGCGGCTGAAGCCATTCGTTACCATTTTCCCATTCCATTGCCTGGTAACCAGGTCGCCTAATTAGGGCCAGCTGTCCTCAGAAGCCATCCTCCCATGAAACCTGCTCCACTTCCCCAGCCCCTGGCTGGACTCTGTCTGCACCCCTTCCCTGGCAGCTCCCCCTCCTACCTGCCCCCTGGGTGTCATGACCCGCCCGGCGATGCTGCTCTTTCCTGATGTGGCTGGAATCCAATGGCAAACTGTTAAGTCCCCCGCTTTGCGGTGGCTCTTCTGTGTCCTCGCAGGGAGCTTGCAAAGTGCTGGGCACAGAAACAGGTCGGTGCAGGGTAAATATTTGTTGAATGGAATTGAGTTCCCCCCATGAGGTCAGGTTTCAAATCGAGCGCCGTCTCTTCCTGAGGTGTTACATGCACGCCTCGCTGAGATGCGAGTCGCTCCCGCTGGAATCCCAAATGCTCCGGGGCTTTTAACAGCCGTGACCTTGGGTTTTTGATCTCGAAGTCTACCCAGTGTTAATTGGCAGCTTGACGAGTTGGGGCCGCTTTTACCGCTTTTACATTTAGAGAGAACCTGACCCAAAGGGACCTCTGCCATCCTCCAGCCCTCCCGCTGCAGACAGAGGGTTTGTGCCGAGGCGTCAGCGGCCGTTTGCAACCCCCACACCCCCACTCTGCTGACCGTGGCTGCTCCGGGGCCTCCCTCTGCCACGTGCCCGTCGTCCGCAAGCTGACCACGGGGCTGGGAGCCCTGCGGTCCCGGCGGCTTCCCCGGCCCCTTCCAGGCCTGGCCCGGCCTGACAGCCGCTCGGCCCGGAGACACGGCCACCGGCCCGGAGGGCAGCACTCCCGGTCCCTGCACGCAGGGTCCAAGCAGCCACCGTGCTCGCTGGGAGTCGGCAGTTTCGCCCCAAGGCAAGGGCACCGGCTGGGCCGCCCCAGACGGAATCACCCGAGTCACCGTTCCCTGCCGGGCGGCAACACAGCTCGCGGCGAAAGCGGCATCGTCGCCAGCGCGTTTATTATGCGGAAAGTAAGCAGGGCTTTAGCTCGCCGGCCTAAAGGTCAACCAGGCGGAGCGGAGCGTCCCACACGACACCTCACGCGGCAATGCTCCCGGACGCCTGCCTAGGCGACCCCGGAAGCCGGAGAGGCGACCCCGGAAGCCGGAGAGGCGACCCCGGAAGCCGGAAGCGGCCGGGGCGATCCCAGCAGGCGGCGCAGGCGACCCCGGAAGCCGGCCGAGGCGACTCCCGCCTGCCGCAGCCCTCAGGTCTCTGCAGGGGTGCGGGGCGCTGTGCCGCCCTCGGAGGCCTTCACAGGGACGCCGGGAAGTGAACGGCTGCCTGGAAGGGGTGTGCGCGCGCCCCCTTCCCTCGCCCCGCCGTTCGCACTCCGCAGTGGCACCGACCATGTGCCTTGAGGCCGGTCGGCTCCCAGCTCACGGCCCCCGCGGGAGGCTGAGAGCTCCGTGAGGGCGTGCAGGGCCAGTTCATCGTCGTCCGGTCCCGAGTGCGCAGCCCACAAATGCTGTTTCGATAAAGAGGGATGTACGCTTGACTGAGGGGGGCCCGTCCTCTCTGCCCCGCAGCCCGCCCTGCTCTCACGGAGCCTCCGTCGCCGCTGCCCGGCTCCCAGGCTTCAGCCCACTTGAACGCGCCCCCGCACCCGTCCTCTCCCCCTCTGCCCAGGCCTTTCACGGGGAGACGTAACAGCCCCTTTGCCCCAGTGACAAGTGACCTTGAAATGAAGGCACAGGTTGACGACAGAAGCCAAATTTACAGCAGGAGCAAAGCCACTCAAATCCCGAGGGAACAATAAAAGCTATTGGGATATGTGCTAACATTTGGGGTTTCTCTGGGGAATTGACAAAACATGGACAGAACACGGCTGTGAGGAGGAGCCCGGGGCCTCCAGGAGAGGGGTCCGTCCCCAGTGTCCAGTGCACCGGAAGATGCCCCCGCACAGAAACCCCCAAAATGTGCCGCCCTCACAATGGACTCCTCAAGGATGGGCCATGACCCTGGTGGAGCACACTGCCCTCCAGAGTCCAGGAATGATGGTCTGGATTTGGTTATGTCCAAATGTTAACAATGCAAAGCATCCAATTCTTAAGAGGGAATACTTTGGAGGTGAACTGGGCGTGAATGGGGTTATAAATGCTTTATCCTGTGTCTTTAACAATCTGGGTGTCCACGGGTCTGGCTTGTGGTTGATGCTGTTAGCGAGGAGGCAGGTTCTGCATGTGGAGGGCATCATAGGTGTCCTTGGTGGCTGTGCTGAGCCCCTGGTGAAAGCAAATCAGAAAAGAAAAGTGGGTCTGGAGCTCCGCACGGGCACAAACCTACCTAGAGGTCAACTAGTAGAATGAGTCCCTCGTGCCTCCCAGAGGGCTGCAGGAGAGACGCAATCTCTGCCCTGTGTGTGGGCCTAGAAGAACTTCCTGTTGGACCCAAGAGGAAGGGAAGCTCCCCCATCCCTGAACACTGAGCTGGAATCAGGTTTGCTCCAGAGAGTTCGCTGTCCCTCATACCTGGGCCTCCAGGAAGCCAGGACTTGTCACGGGGAGACATTGGCCCCCTGACCTCAGCCCTCTCCCCCCAGCCTCCTTCCCACATCACCCTACTACACTTATGCTCTTTGTTGGGTGTGGGGGGGGGGGCAGACAAGCTGCTCCCAATCCCACTGGAACAGCTCTCCCTGGTCCAGAAGACAGATCAAAGCTGCCACACTCAGGAACATTCTGAGGGCCCCTTGACATCATTCTAAACTCAGGCAAGCTGGGCGGCCTGACACGTTGGAGTCACTCAAGCAAGCTCTGAAGAGCCCAGGGGAGCCAGAAGTAGCCAAATAAGAACCCGATGGGGATTATATTTTAGAGAAGTAGGCTGGGTGTCCTTGGTTTGCATAATTTTTCACACTGATTTGCATAAACCAGGCACCCAACTATAACATCTTCTTTTTAAAGTTATTATTTCTCTTGATTTTTTCCCCCTTCAGTTTTCCCACCCATCCACCCAACTTATTAGGTCTGAGGATACAAGGCAGAGCAAGGCTTCTTTCAAGGGCCCAGAGCAGTGGGAGAAGAGGCAGGTGTCTTCTGCCTACATCAGCCCTCTGGGCAGCTGCTGCTTTTCTGTGGCCAGTGCCTGGGGGCTCTCATGGTCTCCTGGTTGGAACCAAGTCATATGCTTGGATGGCTGAATCCCAGCCATGCCCCAGGGCCTTCCTGGCAGATGTGGCACTGGGACGTGAATCGGGACTTGTGGTTTTTGCCCTGGTCAGCTGATGGCAAGAGCTGGGTGCCACCAAGCAAGCAAAACAGGGAAGTCTAGACTTGCCCCTGATTAGACAGCACCAGGCAGGGAGGGGGTGCCCGCAGCACAGACCAGAGGCAGCTTACCTGGTAAAGGCCATCGTGCCCCTTCCCTCTCCGACGCTGGTTCTGTGAGAAGGAACCAAAAGGGCAGACAGTCAATCAGCAGCAGCCTCCTACTCAAGGCCCCAACTCTCAGGGCCCCCAGAGAGTCAGAGGTGACTGACTGTTTCCCAGGCGGGGGGGAGAAGGGTCCGCAGGCGACTTGTCAGACCTCACTTGGCAGGTAAGGTGAGGACTGGCTTCAATGGGGCCCAGGTTTGCTGGTCCCCACTCACGTGCTCAGAGACATCAAGAGTCCTAGAATCTGGGCTGCATAGGAGCTGGCCATGTTGCCTGCCACTCGCAGAGTTCCTGGCTACTCTTCAGTGCTCACTGGGAGTGACAACTACACAGTGGGAGCAGCTCTGGCTGCAGAGTCCCCTCACAGCTGGGCTCCCCTAGTTACTAGCTAATCGACCTCGGGCAAGTCGTTTCATCTCCCGTGCCTTGCAGGGCACACGTTTCTCCCTGGGTTATTGTGGGGATTACGTGAGACCGCCTACCTGGTAAAGCACTGACCAGACCTGCCTTGGGGACACGTGACCTACGCAGCACCTACTAGGGAGGGGTCAGCACTCCGCTCTCATCATTCAGAAATTCTTAATCTTTTAGAAATAAGGGGCCCTGCGTTTTCATTTTGCCTTGAGTCTCAGAGACCTAAGCTCTGAACCCAGCGTGGCACACAGTAAGCACTTGGTGATTACTGATGGTGACAGATTCGCCTTGCTTTTTACAAAGCTTAGTGCGTCTTGGGATCTAGACTTGGTTCCTGAAAGAACATCACCTTCCCCCACTGCCCTAGGTGCTGTTGAGTGGGGAAGAGCTGGGTTACGCTTTGCCCCTGACAGCTACCACAAGGCGTTCTGTTGGTGATACTCGGATGGAGGCCTACAGCAGGGACCTCTAGAAGGTGAGGAGGGTCTCCCTCCCTCCCTGGGGGCTTCACCACCCTGAGCCAAACCTTGGGAATCAGCACTCACCTCGCCTTTTATCCCAATCTCACTGTAGGCCTCTGCCATCTTGTCTTTCTGCAGCGCCTGGAAAAAGCAGAGGGCGTGGGACACTGAGTTTACTAACTAATGCAGAAAACAGTGGGCTCCTGCACAAGAGGAAGCCTCTCAGCTTCCTACCTGGCAGGGAGCTCTCACAGTCAAAGCTCCGGTCCTTCTTCTCACAAGCCTCTCTGTCCACAACCAGCTCCTCACCCTTTGGAACATTCTTTTCAGCAGGCAGTGGGAGAAGCAGGCTCCCCTCTGAGCAGGGAGCCCGACGTGGAACTGGGTCTCGGGACCCCAGGGCCCTGGCATCACGACCCAAGCGGAAGGCAGACCCTCAACCATCTGAGCCACCAGGCACCCCCTTTGGGACATTGAGTGACCAGCCCTTTTGCACTGAACTGAGAAGCTCAACCCAGGTTTGAAGATGAAATGTGGAGTTCTGGCCGAGCACATGAACGGGGACAGTGCAAGGGCTCACCCGGAGTCGCCAGCACCATCTATTTGAGTATGTGTCTCTATATGTCCAAGGCCATGGGCCGTGCCTCCCCCATATGCAGGAAGGAAGAAGTACCTCTCTTCCCAGGAGGTTACCTGCAACCGTCCCCTTCAGGGCAGCCCCAGATCAACAGCCTGAAAACCACAATCAGATCCACACCCAGGTAGCAAGCTGACCTTCCAACAAGAGGTGACACTCAGGAACAGAATCTGGCCTCTGGGAGCAGGAGCCCCTCTGAGGGGCTTGCCCCCCTCCTTCTTGCCCAGCCCAACCTTGCTGCCCCCCAGCACCACCAACAGCAGACCCAGGTATGGAAGGGGAGAAGGCAAGGGAAGGGGGTGTCCTTCGAACATCCAGTCCCTGCAGGCAGCAAGCAGGTGAGTCCCGTGGCACAGGAAGGTGAAGGTCAAGTGAGGCAAAGACACAGGGCAGGGAGCAATGCCTCCACCCAGAGCCCTCCCTCCAACGTCCACCTGTACTCACATTGTACACGACTTCCTGAGGATTCCTCTTCCTCTGCTGGGAAAGACAAGGGGCAGGTTAGGGGTGGAGAGACGGGGCTCCAGGCCAGGACAGTAGTAGCACCCTTCCTGCCACCCCTCTCATACCCTGGGCCACCCCTGCCTGCCCCCCGTCCCCGGCCCTGCTCCCTCCTACAGCCCTGCCCCCGCCACCCCTACCCTCACAGCTCTACTGGGGCTCCTACTTCTTAGCGCACACACACGCGTTCCCGGGCACACTGGCTTCACAACCACCACCACCACCACCCCCCACCCCCGAGGGCCTCCTCAGCCCAGTCTTGCCCAGGGCTGGCCTCGGGGGTTTCTGCTGATAGCCCGTTTGGGTCCCCTTGCAGAGACAGTGCCAAACATGTCACAAGTGGCTTCAAACAAAAGGTGCCAAGTACCCTCACTTAGAGCAGGGCCAGTCACTGCCCAGCAAGCCCTAGTGACCCCCAACCCCCCCTTCACCCCTCCTCATCTAAGTAAAAAGAGGAGAGGGACCAAGGCAGGGACCAAGGAAACTGCCAGTGTCTCCTCCCTGCCCGTTAGCTCTAGCAACAACATGCCCGGCACAGGGCAGGGTGGGGCTGGGGGGACAGGTGTGGCCAGAAACATCAAGGGCCCACTGGGTACTGTCAGGCAGCAATGTCCTAAAACCTGGGCAGTCTGGGCTTTTGGGCTGAACCCTGCTTTTTTTTTTAAGGTTTTATTAATTTAATTGAGAGAGATGGAGAGAACATGAATGGGAGAAGGGCAGAGGGAGAGGGAGGAACAGACTCCCCACTGACTGGGGAGCCCAACAACGGGCTCCATCCCAGGACCCCGAGATCATGACCTAAACCAAAAAGTCAGACGCTTAACTGCCTGAGCTGCCCAGGCACCCCCGAACCCTGTTTATAAGAGGACCCTGCCCTGGCCTCGTCCAGCCTCCCCTCCCCCTGGAGTGCAGAGTTCACAGGCAAGAGAACAGAGCCACTAGGAGCCTGGAGCTGGACCTTGCTCCAAGGGATACTTTGTGCCCAGAATTCCGTGTCCAACGGCCTTGGGCCCTTCCTGCATGGACCTCTTCACCAGATCTGTCCTTTTGGGGGCTTGCATCTCAGGGTGGCCAAGCAGTTTAAGAGGAGGTGGGTGGTGCTTGGTCACAAGGGCCAAGTGCCATGTTCCCGTGTGGGAGGTCCCTCGCGATGCAGAATGGAGTCCCGGAAAGGAAGAGGAGGGGGTGGAAGCAGTTGGGGCTCCGGCTGTCCTCCGGCCCCAGGCCCCTTGCGTGTTAGGACGGACTGTGCTGATAGAGTGTGCTGGCTCCCAGGAGGCCTCTCCTGTCTGTCCTCAGCACGCCCGCTGGCACGCTCACACTCACTCACACTCACAGGCAGGCAGAGGAATACCCTACCTGTTTTCCTCCCATCTCGGGGTCCAGGCCTCGTCTCTTGTCCAAAACCTCATACTCCTCTCTTCCTCTTAAATTGAGCTCCTACAACAGACAGGAAAGCCTCAGAGCCAGGAAAGACACCCTCAGGAGGACTGGACCGCTGGAGGGGGAGTCCCCTCTGGGTGGTGGCTCTCACAGAAAGGAGCAGGGACTGCGGTCTGGGTGAAAGCTGGGGGCCAGCTGGGGACCAGCCTCTCACAGGGCATCTCAGAGAACATGCAGCGCCCCGACTCCTGTGCGTGTGTGTGCGTGTGTAAACGGATCCGACCCAAGTCCCCCTGTACAGGGAGAGGGAATCTGCTCCCTCCTACCCTGGAGGCCGACGACCCCCTCCCCACCTGCAGGGGCCCGGCCAGCCGCGGGCAGGAGGGTTAGGAGGGCTCCAGAGCAGGCTCGCACCCCAGCGCGGCCGGGACGTTCCTGCGCCGCCTGCGGTCTAGAAAACCGGGGGGGTGGGACGAGGACGACTTACGTTGTAGAGCTGGTTGGGGCCCCGCGGGTCCTCGGGGGCAGCCGCTCTCCCGCAGAACTGGAACTGGGAGAGAAGGTGGCCGGGTTAGAGCCCCGCTCCCCGCCTGGGCGCTGCGCCGTGTGACACCCCGCGCCTCGACTCCGAGGTGGGCGGTGGCTGCACGGGGCCCCCACTCCTCTCGCGACCTCGTGCGTCGCCATGTCGCTCCAGCTTAGTGTCCTTGAGGACCGGCCGAGGCGCACAGAGCCTCGCCCTCGGCGCTGTTCCCGCCGCCCGAGGGAGCGAAACGGCGAGATCCTACGGGGGCACAGCCCTGGAAGCCCCCCGAGAGGTCATCTAGGACAGCTCTGCTCACACTTTTATTTTTATTTACTTATTTTTTAAAAAAGATTTTATTTATTTATTTGACGGACAGAGATCACAAGTAGGCAGAGAGGCGGGGGGGGGGGGGGCGGGGGCGGGGGGAGCAGCTCCCCACTGAGCAGGGAGCCCGGGGCTCAATCCCAGGACCCTGAGATCATGACCTGAGCCGAAGGCAGTGGCTTAACCCACTGAGCCACCCAGGCGCCCCTACTCACACTTTTAAAAAGAAAATGAGTAGGTAAGACTGTTCTACAAATGAAGACTTTTGCCGAAGTCTGCTGTCCTAAAGGGCAGTAGGCGTGAGGACCAAAGTGGTCTCAGGGACCGAGCTACGTCCCACCTGCTGCGGGCACCGCGGCCCACCCAGTGCAGCCCTTTCAAGAAATCCAGGCTCCGTAGGCACCAGCTGAAAACCCATGCTCTGGGCCCCCCTCACGTGCACCGATAGGGACCCCGAAGTTTCCAGAGACAGTTACTTCCGCCTCCATCAGCAGCGGGACAGCAGAGCCTGGGAACACACCGTGGGTGCCCCACCTCCCGCTCTCGGTTGTCTGAGACATAAGCCCCTTTCCTGCCAGCGGTAGCCCGGCCCTGGGATGCTCTGATGTTTGCTCATCTGTATGGCTCCTCAGGAGGACGCCCAGCTTCCCACTATCCTCCCACGCCACCGCAGGGCTGTGGCAGAGACCACCCCACCCCCTTCCCCGGCCACCCAAGCTGCGATCTTGACTGATCCCTGCTTTGCCATGGACACCAAGCTCCAGGCCCTACTCGTGCTTGAGACTTGCCAACACTAAGGCCCTTCTGAACATGCACCAAGCAGGGGAGCCCACGCCTTCTCCCCAAGGCCCATGGTACCCACCTTTGCTCTCAGGAACAGGGCAGTGATAATGACACCATAGATGAGGAGGATTCCGTCCAGCAGGTAGCACAGTTTGGGGTCCAGCAGGCCGAAGCTCTGTGCCCCTGTGCCAAGAGATGAGACTGATCAGCCAGGCCCAGGGTGACAGCACACGTGCCCACCATCCCAAGGTGGCCCCAGGACTGACTAGGCCAGGAAATCCTGGCAAGTGGGGCGACTAGATCCATTCCCTACCCCTTCTAACCACAACTTTCCTCCCGTACCCTTGGACCAGCTCTGGGGAAAACCCAGCCTCCGCTAACAGCCAGACGTGATGCTTGGTGGGGCCTCAGATCCTGGGAAGACCGGAAAGAAACAAACTAGGTGGAAGGTGAAGCCGTCCAGTGCACACAGGACGGTGCGTTGGGCCCACTGGAGCCCAGCTGTGTGCGACGCCCTAATAAAACGCCCATGACTGGATGAATGACCCCACCTGAATTAGGGTATGTAGCTCCCTAAGGCCCACTTGCAGGCAGAGAACAGGACTGATATTTGAATAATATCAGTAGTTAGGACCGTGAGAATTTGGGTTAACTCTCCCCTCCTGACTCACAGTTTCTTCAGTGCCAGGCACTGAGCAGGGTCTCCCGCTCAGGGTGGTGGGGTGTGGGGCTGGGCCCGAAAGCGTCTCGTGAGCAATAGACAAAGGTGTATTTGGAGCCTCCTCCCCGCCCGAACCTGGCAGTCTGCCTGCTTACTGGTCCCAGCCCCGCGGCCTCAGCTTCAGCTGTCCCTGCCCACTCCCTTCCCTCCCGTACTTAAAATTCCTGGGACACAACTTGCTCTTCCAGACTCTGCCTCTGTGCCTTTGCATGCACTGTTCCCTCTACATATTCTCTCCCTCTCTCTCCCTGCAACCCTGCCATCTGGTAAAGTCTGATGCATCCTACAAAATGTAGCTCAGAACTCCATCTAGCTTGCCCCAGCCCAGTTTGCAGATGAACCCCGAGTCCTCACAGCCATATTAACCCTTGTCAAACCAGCAGGGCACATCTAGCGGGCGCTGGCATTACTGTGCAAAGGGAGTGGGGAAGGCGGTATGGCAAATGTTCTGGTTAAATCAGAGCACGTTTGTTTGAAAGCCCACGGCACTGCGAGCGAGAAGGCGTGGATTTTAGATTGGACTTCCTGCTGGGGATGTGTGCAGCAACTCAGCCTGCAGACCGTCCTAGCCCCGGCCTCCGGGGAGCGAGCCCGCGAACGCGAACGCGGCGGTCCGCCCGCCCTGGCGGCGTCTCCCAAGGCCAGGGTGCCCCCTGGTGGCCACCTGCAGCCCTCCGCCGCGGCTGTGGGAGTGGGTGCCGCCGCGGCCTTGGGTTGACGCCGGGCAAAGTATTCACCCTCTTTCAGTCGCCTCTTCCACTAAGAAGGGTGAGAACTAACGTTTCTTCAGTGTTTACTATGTGTCAGACACCCCTTTAATGGAATAACTTACCAGATCCTCCCAACAGCCCCGCATAGAAACACAGAGGACTCCCCCTAGTCAGCTTGGTCAGCAGCAAGCCAGAGGCAGTCCCAGGACGCTGGCAGGCAGTGAGCCCCCCTCGCTTCGCTTTCCTGCCCTGGGCCCCGCTCTGCCCACCCTTCTCCAGGAGCAGCCTTTGGGCATCTACCCCCCCTCCACCTGCACTGTGGGAGCAGGTGATCCCAGGCTGGCCCACGGGTTCCACCTCTAACGTCCCTGAACCCCAATCTCAAACGTTCTACTCCCACCCTGATTCAGGACCTCTTGGGTCCCTGGTGGCTGATCTCTCCGTAAGCTTCCACGGCCACCAGCCCAGGCCCAGCTCCCCCATGCCTCCCCCGCACCGCCTCTTCTGCTCCTCTTTGAGCTCTCCAGAACTTTCCGACCCACTTCGAGCTCCCTCCTCTTCCAGCTCCCCATTGCTAGCTCGACCCCTTCCCTCAGCGGTGAGACTCTTATCCCCCCACCTTCGCCCCTGGGGATTCAATAGCTGATTCTGACCCCACAAAGCACCCCACAAGCATAACTCGCATAACTCGCCAGATTCTGAGATCCCCCTCCTCCTAGGCTGTACAGGCTGGAGGGCTGGAGACCAATGGCTGCGCTTTGGGCACAGGGTGCAGGGGAGCCGTTCATCAGATATCCTGTAGTTTTCAGCAAAGATGCAAAGTTGGCCTGCCCTCTGGCCCTGAGGCAGACCCACAGGACCCCCACTGACCACAGGTAAGGGTCCAAACCCCCTAGGAGTCAGGACACCCCCCCGACAAAGGCCACCAACGCTGGGGTGATTTTTTTTCTTTTAGGAATGGAGAAGAGGTGTCAGCAGCAATTTATTGGGGTGGTTGAGATTCAGAAAAAAGGCTGGGAGAAAGTCGCTCAGCTGCCTGTCACATAAAATGAGGACAGAAAAATTACTGGACAGTAAATTTAGAACAAATGAGAAGAAATATTTCTTCGTGTTGTGCAGAGCCAGCGCGGTGGGGGAGGAGACTGGTTGCCTCCCCCAGAGATTAGTAACAGGGACAGGTTTTCTTTCTTTCTTTTTAAAGAGCAACATGATTTTCTGGCCCATGACAAGTCCGCTGTGTGTGGTTTGGCCGAGGAGAGGATATTAACCGCAACATATTTCCTGGGGTAGGGATCCGCCATCCACCCAGTCCAGCTGTGCTTGTGCTGGGAGCGATGGGCCTGCGGAAGGCAGTGGTCACACGGAGAGTTCCACAGGGACCCAGGACCTACCTAATTCAATGAGGTAACTGATTAACTACTTCTTGGGCACCTGCTCAGTGCCAGGGAATTCTGGAAGAGAAGCAGCCCTGGAGCGGGTGTCAGCTGGGTTCTAGTCCCTCCCTTGCCACTAAGTAGCTGTGTGGTCTTGGACAAGTCACCTCACCTCTCTGGGCCTCAGTTTCTTCATCTGTAAAATGGTTGGTAATCAGATCTACCTTAGGGGTGTGGTGAAAATAAAATAAAAAAATATATTGGTAGATGTTTTTGTCCATTTCTTCCAGAAGAACAGTGACGTCTAAGAGGTGGGTAAGGTCTTCTGAGTCCCTGCCTTCGTGGGGCTAAGGCCATGGCTTCCACTGGGATGAGGGGCTTCCCTCGAACAGCAGAGTTCTCCAGGATGCCCCCTCAAAGGCATGAGGCAGAGACACTGGTTCCCTGGTTCTAGCTTCTTCCCTGCACCCTCATCGCCAGGGCAGAGAGCTGTTTGCCTCCTTCCCTGAGCCCCTCACACACCTTCTCATAGCCTCATTACAACCGGTCGTGAAGGAAGGTGGGTATTTAACATGGGGGATGGTGGCTGCTTTTCTCTACAGCTACGATTGTTTTCTCTCACGGTTCCTGGCCTCTGCCCCAGGTCCACAGCACCCAGGAGAACCCAGGGTCTGAGCAAGGGCCCAGAAACTGACTGAGGGTCTCGCTCAGACTCTCCGTCATGGCTGCCCGCTCCCATCTCCCCCTGCTTCTCGCTGACTAGGTCTGGGCTGGAGCCTGGGCCAGGGGGTCTCCAGGGTTGAGATTTGGGAAGGGGCAACATCACATAGGTGCAGCCTCGCACACACATATCCTACAAGAAAGTCCCGTCTCACATCTTCTCACATCTGGAAGACGGAGCTAATGCCGTCTGTGTCTCACTAGGCAGTAGTGAGGCCTGCAGGTGCCCAACCCTGCGCGTCATGAGTGCTCCAGGTCAGCTGTTGTTGTCACCGTAATTGTCCCCCCACCCCCAAATCACCACCAACACGTTTTTTCTTTTTCTTTCTTCTTTCTTTTTTCTTTCTTTTTTTTTTTTTTTTTTTAGGAAGAAAGGGTCAAATTTCATCAAGAACTTTTCAACTAGGTAGGACAAGAGACGCTGATGTGTCTAACTTCTGGGTGTTCGAAGCCGCACGGCTAACCAGATCCTGCCCTCACCGTTAAACCGGGGGGCATTTGATGAGGGGGAGGTATTCTGAGCAGTCACATGATTTCCCATTTAGAAAATGCTGCCTTCCTATCAGAGGAGTTGTGTTGACAAGAGCAAAGACAACCTAACAATAGCCTCCCAGCGCAGGCCCAGACATGATGGTCACCAGGGGGAAGGCGACAAGCCCTATTTGCAAAGCAGGAGAGCTGAGGTAGGATCTGACCCCCTGAGCCTTTTTTCCATCCAACCCGGACCTCCACAGGCCATTCTCTGGCCCCCTGCCCAAGGCACACTCAGCAAATCTGGAAAATAAGGAGACCCTATTTTCCAGGCCTAACGGGGGACCCGCGCGCCAGACCCTTGTGTCTGGACAGACATACGGCAAATGTGGAAACTGAAGTCCAGGTGGGCTCCAGACGTGGGAAGCACATCTAGGTGTTAGTCAGGCAAGCTCCCAGGTGATCAGGCCGTCCGCTGGGGGCCAGGCTGATGGCGGGCAGTGATATTTTAGGGGATTCTAGGTATTCTGGGTAAAACACAAGCATGATGACACCTGGCAGAAAAACAAGCCAAAGCCTTGGAAGAGCCTGCCTTGCTCACTCACGTAGTCCCAGTACTGGACACAAGATTCGAACGCTGGGGGAGGGCGAGAGGGGGAGCCTGGCCCGGAGGCTGACCTTGTCCACAGCCAGGAGGTCACTGCCCCAGATGCTTACGACAACCCCCGTCACCAACACGGTGTAGCTCAGGACCGCCAGGGCCCGGCTGAAGTGGGAAGCTGGACTCTGGTCCCTCCCTCCCACAGACCAGACCCTGGGACGCATGCAGAGGACTGTGGCGGGCGGCCAGCATGTGGGACGGTGTCGGTCACCATCTGCAGAGTTCTCCTTCTCTTCACAGGGGTCTTCATATCATGCTGGTAGGAAACCTGCTGATCTCACCTGGAGGGAAAACCTTTATGCCACCCCAGGTCCCAGCGGCCAGGATGTTAGCCTGCACAGTCTTGGGGGGGGGGGGGGCGGGGAGGGGGGTCTCAGCAGAGGGAGGGCCTCCCTCCCCAGCACATGGTCCTGGTGGGGGCAGGGGGGCCTCAGGCTCAGGATCCTGCATGAACAGCCTTCCGTAGAGTCCTGCCTAGTGCTCACGCCCAGCGCCACGGAAACCATCTCCCGGATGAGCGCCTCGAT